GCCTTTTTTGTTTTTGCTTATGGTTTCCTTTGCTGTGCAAAAGCTTATAAGTTTAATTAGGTCCCATTTGTTCATTTTTTCTTTTATTTCTGTTGCCTGGGTAACTGCCCTAGGAGAACATTGCTGAGATTTACATCAGATAATGTTTTGCCTATGTTTTCTTCTAAGAGGTTTATAGTGTCTTGTCTTATGTTTAAGTCCTTAAGCCATTTTGAGTTTATTTTTGTATATGATGTGAATGTAGTCTGGTGCAGCCATTATGGAAAACAGTATGGAGATTCCTTAAAAGACTCAAAATAGAATTACCATATGATTCAGCAACCCCATGCCTGGGCATATATTCAGAGGGAACCTTAATTCTAAAAGATACATGCACCCCAATGTTCATAGCAGCACTATTTACGATAGCCAAGACATGGAAACAACATAAATGTTCACCAACAGATGACTGGATAAAGAAGCCGTGGTATATTTGTACAATGGAATACTACTCAGCCATAAAAAGACTAAAATAATACCATTTGCAGCAACATGGATGGGCCTGGAGATTATCATTCTAAGTGAAGTAAGCCAGAAAGAGAAAGAAAAATACCATATGATATCACTTATATGTGGAATCTAAAAAAAAAAAAAAAGACGAACATATTTACAAAACAGAAACAGACTCACAGACATAGAAAACAAACATATGGTTACCAGAGGGGAAGGGGGTGGGAAGGGATAAATTGGGAGTTAAGAAATTTGCAGATACTAACTAATATATATAAAGTAGATAAACAACAAGTTCATACTGTAGAGCACAGGGAACTATATTCAATATCTTGTAGTAACCTATAATAAAAAAAGAATATGAAAAGAAATATATGTATGTATATGTCTGACTGAAACATTATGCCATACACCAGAAACTGACACAACACTGTAAACTGACTATACTTCAATTAAAAAAATGGAAAAAAAATAAAGCACAGCAAGGCACTGCTTCATAATTCAAGCAAATAATTTTTTTTAAAAAAGAAGAAGATGGCACAGGATTTGGATAAACAAAGCAGTGGATAAAATGAAACTTTCCCCAACTATACTGAGAATAGCTTCTTTGGATAAAGGGGGGGAAATGAATATTAAACTCTAAGAAAGGAAAAAGATTTTCACAGGGATCACAGTTTTTACTGATATGACCAAAGTGATAAAGAAAATAGGTCCTCTTTAAGCAAAAGTAAAAGTTGTATGAGATTCTGGGCAGTATAAGAGAATAGTTCTGTTTTCTGTTAAGCCTGCTTCTTGACCTCCACCAGGATCTTCCCGGGATCACAGCCACACCAGCACGGATTATGGTGGGGACGTCAGTGCGTAGATCTGAATAGGCTGGCAGACAATAGGGGTTTTTTCCCTCCTGGAAATGTTTAATTCTTCCCTTCAAGAGCTATACATTCTGCTGCACGTCTCCCCACTTTCCCTCTTACTCTCTGTATGCTCTATGCATGCAAACAATACTTGATAGAATGTTTAGCTGGGAGCTGAGCTCAGCATTTGTTGAGCCCCTCACTTTGTACGAGATGCTGTATGATTCAGGAGACGACAAAAAGACAAAAATCTGACTTTCTCTCCATTCCTCTCAAAAGACCTCAAGCACCTTTCAAGTTTTTGTGTATCTTAATGTTTCTTTCAGCCCAGAATCTCTCTCTGAACTAAAAAGTGCTGAGTTATTAAGCCTTGAACTTTAAAGTTAAATTTTAGATTGCGGGAAAATATGCTGTTTGCCCAGAAAACCCAGGGGTAACTAGGTAGCTAACCTAGGAGGAATCGAATTTCTTACATTTAGGGGTGCAGTTGATATTCTGCAGCACGAGATTACGTACGTCATGTCTGATGGTGGGGCTTTCTGAGGTAGTGTGGGAGGTGAAGTAGAAAGTCCCTTCCCTTGGCATCGCTTCTGATGAGGTTCTGCAAGCACTGTAGTGTCTAAAGGTGTCAGGACGCTCTGTTCGTTGTGTCAAGAGAAGAAGTCTTGCCGCTATATGCATGATCGTGTGAATGAATATTCAGCACCTCCAACTCAGACTCATGGCTAATGATCCAGATTCTGAATTTTCCAGGGCCAATTGTACGGCCTCCTTTTTGTGTGCTGCCTTTCTTTTTGAGCAGTTTCATTATTTGTTCACACTTCCAGGAGAAGTGGAGAAAGAGGATGAAACATAAATTCACCAACTTTTTCCAGCGACACCCTTAGCCTTGCCAAGTCCTCTGGTTCCAAGAGGGCTTGTGGGAGCGCACAGTGCACCCCAAGGGGGGAGCAGTCCTCTGCTGCGCCAACAAAAATGTAACACGGGGCATGCTTCCTCACATCAGGACCCAATGAGTCTTCTTTATACGAAAAGACAGCATCCTAAGTAAATATTTCACTATGGCACTGCAAAAAAGAAAGCAAGCCTGGCCAAGCCCCACACCCAACCATCTGGGTTTCAATTACCCAAGTGCTGAGCTGGAGCAGGGTGACTGCAGCCATGTGCGCATGTGTGAGGGAGGCAGGGACCTACGAGGGCACACAGCTGGAAACGGAACTGGCTCTGTTGCCTCCTTCAGCAGGTAGCTTTAGCCTCGAGGCATGAAATCTAGTCTTGAAAATACGCCCATGTAGAGCTTTTGTTTATGGGTATGGTTTAAGGAACACAGAGCTCACAAGCAAAACTGTGAAGTAGAGGGGACTTCTCTTGACACCGGCCCAACTTGCTTCTGAATCTTCCTGTGTCCTGATGGTACCGTGGCCCCTGCCCCCTCCTCCCATGTCATAGTGCTGGCTCCCGTCCCCAGCAAAACAGGAGAAGGCAATCCGTCCATGTGAGTGAGATCCATCCACACGTGACACGCTTAATCTCTCCACCCTATCCACTGCCCTCAGTATAAAAGTACAAACCTGTTAGCATGACTCTGCTGCTGGTGGCCCTTCCACCCTCCCTTTCTCCTCTCTGTCCCATCCCCAGCCACACTAGGGTCCTTTCCTTCTGCAAGCACTGGCCTCTGCTTGCTGCTGGGCCTCTGAGAACACTCTGTTCTCCATGCCTGGAACACTCTTCACCCCTCTCCCCAAGCCATGTCCCAGGAAGCCGGCCTTGACCTTGGTCAGTTCTGTCCCTCAAGCCCTTTCCTAGAGCACCCATGCTGCTCCTTTGAAAGTCCCCATGCCATAGTGAGTTCTTCACCTGATGCCAGCTGTAAGCCTGTGACTCTTTGAGCTCTGACACGTTCACTGCTGCATCCCCAGCACAGAGCCTGGCCCACAGCAGTTGCCAAGTGTGATAAGTGACTGACTGAATTCATTAATCTAGTCCAGATAGTCACACTAATACCATATTTCTAAAGACTAATGTCTTTAGACTCCTGGAGGCTTTCAGGGTTTTACCCCAAACCAGCTGCTACTATTAGGAGAGCAGACCAGGGGCCCTGCTTGCTGAGTTGACCCTGGAAGATCTGTGACCTCAGGGGCACATCTGAGCATCTTGTGTCTGAGCAGCTGAGATGTTCGCCCACTCTGCTCCTTTTTCCTCTCCTCTGCCCAAATCCCTCTGTATTTCAGTCCCCAAAATGTTAGCTGAGGAATTCAGAATTCATTCTTGCTGTGCCCATTGATTGATGTCCTTCCCCACA